ACGTAGAAGTCGTGTGGATGGTGCGGCAAACGGAAACGTCAACGACCGGCCTACTTAACCTTCGCAAACTGATAATCCGCATTCTAGTTGTTACAGAAACGTAGAAGTTTCACAGCGAGATTTATAGAAGGAATAAATGAAATGGGGTTTAACGTCCTATTTTCTGCACCTGTGGCGGAAGTACAGACCAAGTATCCTAAGCAAAGAAGAAAGAAAGAAATGGGGTTTAACGTCCACCCGACTCAAACTAGGTCATTTCGGGACAAACACATGGTTCAATTTTATTTCAATAATTCGCTTGCGCGTAAGGGTCTTTAGCAGTGGGAGGAAACCGGAGGACCCGGAGAAAACCCGCGAGCTTGGACAGACAACCACTCCTTGTCACGTACAACTGGGGAATCTAAACCCCGCCAGTTGACTCAATGACAGACCTTATGGTACAGCGCGCACATTCGTTGATAATCGTTGAAGTACGGTTAGAGAGAGTATCGTGAAAGTACAGAGCTCTCACCGCACGTACCGTAAGGGGCAAATAATTACAATCGTTGACTGATGGTCAAAGTTCTTATTGTGGAAGTACCAAGCCCTCAGTTCACCTATCGCTGAAGTATGGTCAGAGTGCTTATCGTGGAAGTGCCATGTCCTCCGTGCATCTATTGCTGAAGTACGGTAGTAAAAATTACCGTTCTACTTTAACTTCTTTCGCCAGATTTGATTTCATTCAACCTTTTAGCATATTTTCTAAACAGTTAGGAGGCACGGTGGCTAAGTGAGTAAGACACTGGCTCGCTAGCCTGGAGGTCGCGAGTTCGATCCCGGTGTTGTCCGACTTCTCCTCGTCAGTGGTGCAGAACAGAGGGCCTGACACGGACAGCTGTCTAGTCGTTGGGATAGGACGAAAAAACGAGGTATCGTGTACAAACTGACATGCACGTAAACGATCCCTTGGCAGTTGGAATCCCATATTAGAGTAGGCCGTAGCGCCGCTGTCCGGTCAAAATGTCCCCATAGCACACTGCCCGTCTTCATTATCCCAGTTGGACCAGAACAGCCAAAATAGACAGTGGCTTTAACTATTGAACGTGATGATTTGTGAACGTGACGGTTTGTGAATATGATAGTCACCCTTTATAAATCACTTGTATTCAATTCTACCTTTTAGATCACATGAAGACACTGGAAGAAGAAGGATCTTCACTTGATCGTTTATATAAAGGTCTGTACTTTTAATATTTTTGTGAGAGGTGGTATAGGGTGTTTTATTTATTAGAGCGCGTTTATAGTGCACCCTTTCACATCACGTGATCAGTGGTCCTTTACAAAGTGACAGTAATAATCATAAAAAGAATGGATGGACATGTCAAAAGTTGTATACAGAGTCGGGGAAAAGCTTAAATAAATATGTTTTAAATTGTATTTTAAAAGAATATAGAGATGTACAACATTTGAAACTAAAAGGTTGATTATTCCATAAAACAGGTGCTTGGTAACTAAAAGAGTCCTAACCGTAAGAGACTAGTTGAAGAGTTTTGGGCTTTAAGAATTTATCTGATGTAGGTATTGTTCGTGTATAAAGTTCTAAAAGATCTGAGAGGTAAACAGGAGCTAAATTATATAAACATTTAAAAGTATGTAATAAAATCTTAAAATCATTCGATATTTAACAGGTAACCAGTGTAAATTATATAAAACGGGAGTTATGTGGTCACATTTCTTAGTTAAAGTAACAAGTCTAGCTGGAGTATTCTGTACTTTTGTAATTTATCTATAAGCTTTAAAGGTAAATCAACTAAAAGAGAATTAAAATTATCTAATTATCTCATTAACAAGTGACTTATTGACCTCTACTGTTAAAATTTTCTACATTTCTCATGAGCATTAACGTCAATAGTTTATTTAAAACATCAGTTCGTAATATCTGTAATTTTATTTGAAAGTAAACCGAGAATACGTTCGCGATTTCGGTATCTTTATCATCATTGTCCGGGAGAATAGATCCAATAATGAATTCACTGTAACTTTAAACGGGTCTTTTTTTCTCTTTTCACCATTTTATCAGAGTAAAATTTAATTTTAGTGTATTCAATTAATTTATCCACATTGTTTTTGAAAAATTTATGGATATGTAGATTTGTTTTCCGCCATGGATGTTCAGCAATGTTACGGCCGCGCTCGGAGTCTAAACTAGAGCCATTAAACAACTGCGTTTTGGGACGAATAGTAAATGAAGACCATTTTGAGAAAATGCAATTTGAACCTTTTTTTTAATTTTTTAACCATTTCTGTGATCATTCTAATTTTGTGACCTCAGATAAAGGAATCATTCCAATTAATAATATCTATGTTTTCAAGAATTATCTTCTATATCAATGAAAAGTCTGTTCGGCATGTGCCCTTATTCAATTGAATATTTTAATTTACAAAATTGTATGTCTTTTAGTACCTCGGAAAGGTGCACTGCTATAATCATAAACTATTATCTGCCTCTTTAAGACGATGTTTAGGGTCCGTTACTCTGTGTGCTCCACTTTGTATCAATATAACCCTGTCCCTAAATTCGTACAAAGCACCATCACATAAGTGCAACACTTAGGTACCTGAAACACAATGCTGACAAGTCAGTTATTTATTTGCTTGAGTTCATAGCTTAGTACTAAAAGACTGAGTAGTGGAAGTGAAGACTTTCAAAGACTTTCCTAATGACGGCGTCAATAATACAGGAACCGTGGTGCCTCAATGAGTTGGACGCTTGCTTGTTAACCAGGAGCCCTTGTCAGTGATGCAGGGCGGAGGACCTGACAAGGACAGCTGTCTAGTCGTTCGGATGGGATGAAAAACCGAGGTCCCGTGTACACATTGGCGTGCACGTAAAAGATCCCTTGACAGTTGGAATTCGATATAAGAGTAGGCCGTAGTGACACTGTCCGGGCAAAATTTCCCTCATAGCACACTGTATGGCGTATGCCCGTCTTCATTAGCCCAGTTTAGGAGCAGAACAGTAGGACGTTAAACCCCATTTCATTTCATTTCAGGGGGGTTGGATGGCCGAATGGTTAGCACGTGCGCGCTGTATCATAAAGCCTGTCATTGAGTCAACTGGCGTGGTTTCGAATCCCCGGTTGTACGTGACAAGAAGAAGGGTCGCCTGTCCAACCTCGTGGGTTTTCTCCGGGTCCTTTGGTTTCCTCCCACTGCTAAAGACCCCTACACGCAAGCGAATTATTGAAATAAAATTAAACCATATGTTAGTCCCGAAATGACCTAGTTTGTGTCAAGTGGACGTTAAACCCCATCTCTCTCTCTCTCTCTCTCTCTCTCTCTCTCTCTCTACCTCTTATAAACAAAGATGGGAATTAATAGAAAAAATACTGAACCCTGAAATTCGTATTATTAGCCATTTCTGGTGAGAGAAAACGAGAATCAAATTAAACGAGATATTCTACCTATTAACCGGTTGTTATTTTTACTATTAAAGTCATAAACCAGCTGGATTTTGTTACTATTAAAATCATAAACGATTTAATATTCATGATATGTCTTATTCACGTGATTTATTTCTTGTCGATTCTATTCAACTTTTCATCCCAATTCATGACAAGTCGCTCTCTCATTATATTATTATTATTAAAGTTTTTCAAATGCAATCCTTCAAATATATTGTTCATTTTCTTGAGTTGAATAAATCTTATTGATCCTTAAAATCCGGGTTCAAATAATATTTAAGATTCATCATATTAATAAATATGGGATTATTTATTGAATAAACCAGCAATAAATATCAACCAATGAATCTTGCTAATCTTAGACACACGTGCTTTCAGAATAAAGATTGACGAACCGGATTTAATCGAATTTAGAATTAAAGGATATCATTCAATCCTATGTGTTTATCTTTTTAAACAATATTTTTAATATATCTGAATGGGATTGAGAGAAATGGGGTTTAACGTCCACTCGACACAAACTAGGTCATTTCGGGACTAACATATGGTTCAATTTTATTTAAATAATTCGCTTGCGCTTAGGGGTCTTTAGCAGTGGGAGGAAACCGGAGGCTCCAGAGAAAACCCACGAAATTAGATAGGCGACCCTACTCCTTGTCACGTACAACCGAGGAATCGAAACCACGCCAGTTGACTCACTGACAGACCTTATGAAACAGCGCGCATACACTAACCATTCTACCATTCAACCCTCTGAATGAGATTGAGGATTGGGCTTAATAAATGTAAATATAAAAGCTAACTAGATGTAGCACCCCATTGTATATTACGTCAGTTGATATTGAGATGAAAATAATTCATAAATGAGTAACCCGGATCTTAAGGAATTAGTCACGTTTACAGAAGGACGGGTGTAGGTTAAATGGGTGCTAAATGGGTGCTAACCGTCCGTGCACATAAAAGAACATAATATGCCTGTGTATGTTTTGTTTAAAGTGTCAATCCCGATGTTATTTTGGAGAATAAAACTGCTTAATTTTGTGTTAAAATCCCTTAAAATCCCGTATCTAAAGGCCGAGCAACTAATTCAATATTTGTGAAATGTTTTCAAACAAATTACACCCGTCAGTCTTCATCTGGAAATGGAGACCGGTGTCCCAAGCTGTATTATGCGGTGTCTTGATAAAACCAGACTTTTATTTTATAAAAAACAATGTGTAGGTGAAATATACCTTTCGTTATCCAGTACGGCACATGGTTCATTCACTGTATAGACCTCTAAAGGAACGGCGGTGGATTATCAGGTCACCCAATGAAAAAATTGACCAAAAATTCTAGAAGGGTTACGTGTCCGGATAAGCATCTTTGACGTTCACGTCTAAACAACTCAATATTTTGAGCTGAAATTTTGAGACAAAGTAAATACACCATTCCTCTGCACTTTGGCGCTTAAATTTCATACGAACTCGGACTTTTATTTTTGTGTCCTCTTCAAATAGGGGCAGCCCCTTTAATAAAGAGTGAGTAACTGTCCAGCATTTTTTTTGTATAGAAAATGACACAGACAAATAGAATTTACGTTGAGAAATTGTCTTATAAAAATACTCTCACTGCTTCTTAAGCGAATTTTGCAGCAGCAAGATGCAACGGTCTCAGGTTAGACCGGTTCGCCAAACGAAACGGGTCAAATTGTTTTAGTAAATTGTTCACAAGTATAATATAAAAAAATCAAAATATACCACAACAGTCTTTACTATTAGTATTACTTTCTATGACATACCTTTCTTAAACTGGGCGGGTGGGGGTGCAATGGTTAAAGGTGTGCGCCATAGATCACAGGATCTGTCATTGAGTCAAGAGTTTCGTTTATTTGGGAGGGGGAGGCGTAATCGAAAACCTCAAGCATCTATGACAAGCCGCTGACTCGCTTCTTGTGAGGCCAGGAAATATCACCCTTCCCCTGTACCAACTAAATGAATTGCAATGAAATGGGGTTTAACGTCCTACTGTTCTGCTCCGACTGGGCTAATGAAGACGGACATATGAAATACAGTGTGTTATGAGGGAAATTTTGCCCAACTGCCAATGTATACACGGGCCCTCGGTTTTTCGTCCGATCCGAACGACTGGACAGCTGTCCTTGTCAGGCCCTCCGTCTTGCAATCACTGACAAGGGGAAAGGAAACCACGTCGAAAAATCTCGATGAACTTTCTCGGCCAATTCAGGGATCGAACACGCGACCTCCAGGCTACCGAGCCAGCGCCTCACCTACTTAGCTGCAGCAACTAAGTCGTTGCATATTTATTGTTTGTTTAAAGTGACATAAATAACGCATAAAGCAGGGGAGCTGGGTGGTCTTGTGAACCCATAAGGTCTGTCATTGAGTCGAGTGGCGTGGTTTCGATCCAAGGAGTAGGGTTGCCTTTCTACCTCGTGGGTTTTCTCCGGGTCCACCGTTTTCCTCCCACAACTAAATTATGTTAGTTAAACCCCATCTCCCTCTCTCCCTCTGTTTAATTTAGGGACTTATGTCCGCAGGGGATGATAGGTGCGCTATGCCCCCAGGGGATGATAGGTGCGCTCAGATGACATGGATTACTCTCATATATCATACTTTATAAAAATAGCTAGGATATTATTATGTTGGTGACTGAGGTTACTTCATAATAAACAAGCCGGATGTTATGAAGTTGTCATTGAAAATAAAAGGGCATACGATTCGCATCATAGAGTTGGTTTACAATACTCTATAACTCTCTAACAAGTGTACATGATAGAGTTGGTGTACAACACTACTCTCTAAAGCCCGACCCATACCGCTACGACTACACACAAGCCGACAGGACTCAGCGTCTTGGGTAGTTGTAAAAAAAAATCCGGTCGCGCCTTTACTTCACTTGCCTACAACGGTACCAGTCCACACAGGCCCGACTCTCACAGATTATGCGTCGTGAGTTACGCCACTTCCCTCTAGCGAGTGATTCCAAAAGTAAACCGGAAGCATAAAAGTGACATTATATTTTGCCAAGATGCCGCTGAAGTTGACTGCTCGTAACTAACTGCATCCGACTACGATTGAACATGTTCAATCGGGCCGACGGGCCACGACGCGACGGAAATCGATTGAATCGTGGTCGTGGGACTGTCCACACTGCACTGATTATCTGAGACAAGACGTTGCGTTGGGTAGAGTCTGGGCAAGTCGTGGCGGTATGGGCCGGGCTTAACATGATAGAGTGGGTGTTCATTACTCTCTAACAATATTTTCCGTTCAGTTTGTGTCATATCTAACCATCATCTTTTGTCTAGCAATATTAGTGGTGACGTGGCCATCAAGATTGTCAATCACCTGAATCATTTATGAAACTATTTTTAAGGGAATTGGGTGGCCGAATGGTTTATGGCGGGCGTACGCATTAAATCATAATATTTCTCATGCTGCTAGTTAGGTGTCCTTCAAGTCATGTATAATGACGCCTATTCCCCATCCATATAATCAACTCTCTGGAACTTCGGATGGGTTTGATTTTCAAGAGAATTAAATACGATTGAATTAATTTATAATTGGATAATCGAAACTGTGTTTATTATCGTAACAACGGTAGCAATGACAGTTGAGTTTACACTTTTCTACAAACGACGATAACTCTGCTCAGAATGAAGTCATCTCAACATATTCCTTTTCCATTAGATATCTTTTTTTAACTATTATAGCGAGAACTGTCAGCTGTTTATCTAAATCTTACATATCGCATCTTTAACAGAACTATTAAAATGAGAACTGTCAGCTGTTTATCTAAATCTTACATAATGCATCTTTAACGGAACTATTAAAATGAGAACTGTCATTTCGAAATCTAAATCTTACATAATGCATGTTTAATGTGAAATCTACTAAATGCCTACTAAATCTACTAAATGGTTAGCACGTGCGCTCTGTATCATATAGTCTGTCATTGAGTCAACTGCTGTGGTTACGATCCCACGGTTGTACGTGGGTCGCCTGTCCAACCTCGTGGGTTTTCTCCGGGTCCTCCGGTTTCCTTCCACTGCTAAAGACCCCTACGCGCAAGCGAATTATGGAAATAAAATTGAAACATATGTTAGTCCCGAAATGACCTAGTTTGTGTCGAGTGGACGTTAAACCCATCTCTCTCTCTCTCTCTCTCTCTCTCTCTCTCTCTCTCCTCTCTCTCTCTCTCTCTAAATGCCTATCAACGAATTTCCATGTTCTTTACCTTTTTTCCACATGTACATTGATAATATTCTGTAAGTGGCATTTAGCTTGAAAACGTTGAGAGAATACTCTTCGAAACGTCGGCTAAATAAATCTGTGGCTGTTTTCCATAAGTATGTTTATAGTTTATGTATATTGATAATACTGGTGAATAATGGTACTTAACCCTTTCGTACACCGGACACAATTCTATGGAATACAGCTACTGTTTATTACTGATCAACGTTTCGACTAGACATCTAGACGATATCAAGCAATGTAAATGCAATACTTAGTCCCGGTTGTCCGTGACAAGGAGTAGGGTCGCCTGTCCAAACTCGTGGGTTTTCTCCGGGTCCTCCGGTTTCCTCCCACTGCTAAAGACCCCTACGCGCAAGCTAATTATTGAAATAAAATTAAACCATATATATGTTAGTCCCGAAATGACATAGTTTGTGTCGAGTGGACGTTAAACCCCATTTCTCTCTCTCTCTCTCTCTCTCTCTCTCTCTCTCTCTCTCCAATCTTTAGTCAATCATGACCTATCATAGGCACTTAACTAATTACCTTGAAGGAAAACTATCTTATTTATTGTAATTAAATAGCGATAACTGCTATAGCGATAACTGCTATAATTAAACTTTTCTTGTAATTTTATAGCGATAACAGCTATAGTGATAACTTGTAAATTTATAGCGAGAGAGAGAGAGAGAGGGGGGGGGGAGAGAAAGGGGCCTTTAGGAATGGGTGAAAACCTACGAGGTGGGACTGGCGACCTTATTTCTTGTCACGTTCAAGCGCGGAATTGAAACCACGCCACTTGGATCAATGACAGACCTCATGACCCAATGGAATGGGCACGCTTTAAACCATTCGGCCACCAAACCCCCTAATTTCATAGTGAAAACTATCATAATTAAACATGCCTTGAAGTTTTGTTTTTACTGTTGTATTATTTCGTCTTCTTATTTTCTAGATCAAAACGTTGTGTTGAGAGGCTAAAGTTGATTTTAGAGAGAGGAGGGTGATCAAGGAAATCTCCATGATGAGAAATCTAGTGATAATAACGTACCTGATTCTAGTATTTAGATTCAAAGTACAAGCACAGTCAGATAGTAAGTTTTATTTATGTAAACGTCTCCATCCATTACAGGAGCCGCGGTGACTCAGTGAGTAAGACTTGGGTCGCTAAGCTGGAGGTTCCGTGCTCGCTCCCGGTGTTGGCAGAGAGAGATCATCGGTATTTTTAGCGTGGTTCGCCCTTGTCAGTGGTGCAGAGGGCCCGACAAGGAGCATAGTATAGTCGTTCGGATGATAACAGAAAACGAGTGTAAAAAAACACATTGATAGTTTGAATTCGAAATATGAGTAGGCCGTAGTGCCGCTGTCCGGGCAAAATTTCCCTCATAGCACACTGTATGGCGTATGCCCGTCTTCATTAGCCCAGTATAGGAGCAGAACAGTAAGACGTTAAACCCCATTTCATTTCATTTTCTAACAGACTCTCTATTACAACCTCTTAAAGAAACTATGGTGCACCCCCCCCCCCTCCCCCACCCCGACCCTACAACCCCGAGACTTACTATTACAGAAAGTTTACAAAAACCAAACTAAATTTAATTTCTATTTCTCTTATACTTCAGGTGAAAATGACACCTCTCACGTGATGACATTAAGTATGGTTTTGGCTCAAGAATCTAAAATGAATGGTGTGTACTTGCTGAGAAATAACTCGTGTAATATACCTTATTACGTTGGTCCATAGTAAGTATAGGTTATTGTAACATATACATAACCCCATAGTGTGTAATATACCGTATTACGTTGGTCCATAGTAAGTATAGGTTATTGTAACATATACATAAACTCATAGTGTGCAATATACCGTATTACGTTGGTCCATAGTAAGTATAGGTTATTGTAACATATACATAAACTCATAGTGTGCAATATACCGTATTACGTTGGTCCATAGTAAGTATAGGTTACTGTAACATATACATAAACTCATAGTGTGCAATATACCGCATTACGTTGGTCCATAGTAAGTATAGGTTACTGTAACATATACATAAACTCATAGTGTGCAATATACCGTATTACGTTGGTCCATAGTAAGTATAGGTTGTTGTAACATATACATAAACCCATAGTGTGCAATATACCGTATTACGTTGGTCCATAGTAAGTATAGGTTGTTGTAACATAAACATAACCCCATAGTGTGCAATATTGTAACACTTACGGCTATAGACCCATAGTAAGTAGAGGTTATTGTTTCATAGACTCGTTTAACTCGGTAGAGAGTATATATTTTAAAATATAGTTAACATCCAATACGTTATAAATCTAAGCTTGGAATCTGGCACATTTCCTAGAATCTGGAAGAACCAGTTGTGAAGCCCCTTATCAAAAAGTCCAATCTTGATGCCAACCAATTCAGCAATTATCAACCCGTTTCCTTTTTGTCGGAAGTGTTGGAAAGGCAGTAAAAGTACGTCTGTCATCATACCTCTCAAGGCACTCATTACTGGATAGATTTCAGTCCAGTTATAGACCTGGTCATAACACTGAAACTGCACTTTTACGTGTCTGTAACGAACTTCAGATATCTGTCGACATTGGTGAGGTCAGTCCTACTCGATTTATCGGCTGCGTTCGATAGAATCGATCATTGCCAACTAATACAGCCTCTATCGCATGTTTAAAGAATACTATGAGACATGAAACCGTTATAGCACATCAACCATGTCAACAGACTTTCTGTAGCGCTATGAGCATATACATACTGTATGGAGTTTGTGCGTTAAAAGTGAACTATTATTATGATATAATTATACTAGTCTTGTCACTCTTAACTAATTTCAATTATTACACAATGATATATGATGGTGATTTTATTATCTTTCATATGGTATCGGTTCAAGTACGTTAATATATTGTATATTCTGACGCCACTTCATCTCCTAAGAAAACATCACTTCCCCCAATAAGATCAGGCATCGACGCCACTTCCTCTTTTGTGAGGCCCATCTTCATTAACCCAGTTGGAGCTTTAAACCCAATTCCATTACAAAGAATCTACGTCACTTCCTCTTTTGTGAGGAACGTCACACGAACTCATCAATAACATCACATTTACTCCTCAATAACGGGGGTTGGATGGCTGAATTGTTAGCGTGTGCGCGCTGTATCATAAAGTCTAGCATTGAGTCAACTGGCGTGGATTCGATTCCCCAGTTGTTCGTGACAGAGAGTAGGGTCGCCTGTTCAACCTCGTGGGTTTTCTCCGGGTCCTCCGGTTTCCTCCCACTGCTAAAGACCCCTACGCGTAAGCGAAGTACTGAAATAAAATAAAACCATATGTTAGTCCCGAAATGACCTAGTATGTGTCGAGTGGACGTCAACCCTCTCTCTCTCTCTCACCTCAATAACGCCACACGCCCATGGAAGAAATGCCGTATCAATACGACATGAAGGGATTACAAGCAACTGATGGTTAATCTATTTACAGCATCGTGTATCCAACCGAGTCCGAATCGACATGTCCACAAGACCACCACGCTACCAGAATATATCGTACAATAAATGGTACGTGTAATAATGTTCTCGAGCCCCAGTTGGGCCAATCTAATGGACGATTCAAGAGGTACCTACAGCCTGAATACGCAGATGGTGAGAATATTCATATATTTTATTAGCGATATTATAGTGTACGTGTTGTGTTATACATCTGGAGTTCCAATCGGAAGTGATATCAGATGTTCTAGATATAGTAAGTAAACTCGAGAATATGGTCACCCTGAAGACAGATTGTCTAGAGCACTTTTGATAATGACATTTAAAACCTCGCTGACAGCCAGCGGTCTCAACTTTTTGTGCCGAAAGTTCTTCCGGATGTTCCAGCATAGTTCCCTCCGTGGCACAGGAAGAGGTATCTGAAAAGGAACAGTATCGTTCAAATAGACCTATCTGGTGCCCTTTAAGACTACCCAGCCGCTTTTCTCGTGACCAACGGTTTGTCAATGACCGGGCAATATCCCATTTCATTATCTGTGCTCCTACCGTTATATACTTTAGTTGCTACATAACATGTTCCCGAAACAACGACTGCGAGTTTTACAACATCTAGACGTTGCTAGCCTGGTCTACAATTTCCGAACTTATAGCTGCACGTGAACAATAGCGTCATATCAGAGGATGTGGCACAGACACGCTCACATCAAACACAGCGACTTCTACGGAAACCTTGACATTGAACGAACCTTGAACTTTGCAACTCGATTATCACAGTTAGACATTTTAGCTGGAAAACGCGAGACTAGGTATTCACGGTGATCGAGGATACTGATAGACCCCCCCCCCCCCTATCAAGGTCATTACCCAATCGAAATTAGTGCTGAAAGATGCAGAGTATTACCTGAAGGCCTTGATAACATGTACGGAGTTTAAGCGAGACCAAACCTTCTATTGAAGATGCTACAGGTCTGGCTTTCACGAACACTTAAAATATGTACGTTTCTTGAATGAATGATGTATAACTTGAAATATTCATTAGGCTTTTCAAGACCAAGGATATACTCGCAAGAGGAGATATGTACGGACTACTATGGATACTTTAGAATATGTCGCGGTAGACAGTTGTTACCAAGTGCCAGAACAGTCAGTGCTGCCATCCATACAGGAAGTAACATCTCATCAATAAACACGGTGATGCTCATGCAGTGGGGTCAGTTTTTGGACCATGATTTTACGGCTGCTGCTATTAGACAACGTACGTATAATCCACTTATTACTCTCTTCCAAATTATTAGGGGTGGAATGGAGGCGGTGGTGGAAGGGTGCTTTTTTATAATTATAACATTGTTCGTCCGGTTTCTGATAAACATGCTCGTTGGTTCATGGGGTATAACATCCGCTCCCACCTAAAGGGATATCGCAGACAAAGCAAATCGCTCCGTGACTTACATTTTAATAATCCACTCGCACGATCAGGTTATGCTGCTATCTTCTTACCTCGCCTGAGACACTACGTACCCGCAACAGTCATTTTCGTGTTGCATTTATATTACTCTATGCTGTTTGACCAGCAACGTATGAGTATGAGTAAAGTAGCTTTTAATGGATCGGTTTTCCCCCACTGCTAAAGACACCTACGCGCTAGAGAATTATTGAAATAAAATTGAACCATATGATCTAGTTTGTGTCGAGTGGTCGTTAAAACCCATCTCCCTCTCTCTCTCTCTCTCTCTCTCTCTCTCTCTCTTGAAACTAATCCACAATGTTTTTATCTGGGTATCAGTGATTTACCTCTATTTTCAGCTGAAGAAGAAGATGCATGTTGTAATCATACTGACGTCATGGCTGGCAACCTTCACCCTGATTCCTTCACAAGGTAAAGAACTCTCGCTACATCCGGTAGACATAAGGTCACAGGACACCGTTAATTTTCCTCTTGACTTTAATGTTAATTTGGCCGGCTCTAAAATGTTCGTGGGGTTTGGATGGCCGAATGGTTAGCACGTGCGCGTTGTATCATAAGGTCTGTCATTGAGTCAACTGGCGTGGTTTTGATTCCCCGGTTGTACGTGACAAGGAGCATGATCGCCTGTCCAACCTCCTGTGTTTTCGCCAGGTCCTCTGGTTTCCTCCACTGCTAAAGACCTATGCGCAAGCGAATTATTGAAATATAAACGAACCATATGTTAGTCCCGAAATATCATAGTATGTGTCGGTTTCGGGTGGATGTTAAATATCTCCCTCCCTCTCTCTCTCTCTCTCTCTCTCTCTCTCTCATAGAATACCAAATGAATTAAACAGTTGATACAAAACATAAAACGTCAATCCCTTTTCATTTGATTTTAGTGATGGACAATGTTTTCCTATTCCAATTGTTCAAGATCCATCTGATCGTCATTTTAACAGGACATGTATGAACTTCGTCCGATCTAAATCCATAGATGAACATATTAGTAAGTTATTAGATTAATATTACAATAGATGACCATATTAGTAAGTTCCTGGTATTAATATTACAATAGATGACCATATTAGTAAGTTCCTGGTATTAATATTATATTAGATGACCATATTAGTAAGCTCCTTTATTAATATTGTAATAGATGACCATCTTTGTAAGTTATTACATTAACATTACAATAGCTGACTATATTAGTAAGTTATTACATTAATATTACAATAGGTGACAATATTATCTATTAAAGAGGGATTATGTAAGATTTAGATAACGGGCTGGTCAGTCTTACTGTTATTAGTTCGAAAATAAATAATTTAAAATGAATAGTTTGAAAATTTCATTCAAATTGCTCCTTTGCGAGTGAACATATTAGCTTTGGAAGTTTTGACAAGATGTGTGCATTAATTGCAACCAGCGCAATTGTTGTTAGAAGCTTAGCCTCGCTTCACCCTTTTTAGATTATATCAAAATATGGCTGAACCTTTCTAATCTATTTAATATCGGAGATATCCGATGACATTGAGAGTTGATTATGGCCTGGATCAGTTAATTAATGTCTAATTAATAATTTAGAAAACATTTCAGGCGTAAAGAAAGACCTGCAATAGGCAGATTTAGCTCTTCCATAATGTGTGTTTAATATTAGCATGTCCTTTCATTGATATTACATTATATGGTCATATCTGATATTAATCTCCGTCAGTGGGAAATCCTTGTATGAACAGATATTGTTTACATATGACAGCCGCGGTATCTATCACCTTAAAGATTGCATTCAACTTCACCGACATCAGCAATGCGAAAAGTTATTTTATATATAAATAATTGATGTCTATGGTTGGGCGATTGTGGCTGTGCTAGGTAGGGGGCTGAATATATAAAATGAATTTTAGAGTTTTCGACACGCTCAATCATTTCGCTATGATGATGTGTTCGATAAGCGTTCGATATAATCAAGATACAAAGGATATTTTATATTTTGTTATAAATGACTATCCTTCTGATTCCTCTAGATTGGTTAATGCCTTCTATAGAGAGAGCAGAAGAATTATAACACGATAATTACGATTTTCGAGAGTCTTTCTGGCGAATTACAGGTTTCACACATGACGTTTTAATCATTCCTTACTGAAATATTTTTCACATTCTGCCTTTTTTTAAAGTTGATTCTGATCTTTAATCAGTCGTTCCAGTCATGATATATTACGATTATATATTTTACGATTATATATTTATTATCATTCGTTATAAAACCACCTGTTTTAATAATTTTACAACTAGTTATAGTATATCAAAATGTTTTAACCAGTTATAGAAATGTTTTAACCAGTTATAGAATATCAAAATGTTTTAACTAGTTATAGAATATCAAAATGTTTTAACTATTTATAGTATATCAAGATGTTTTGACTAGTTATAGTATCGAACTGTTTAATCAGTTATAGAATATCACAATGTTTTAACCAGTTATAGTATATTGAACTGTATTCAAGATTATATATCTAAAATTTGCCATGATATATAGGTTTTTTTAGGCCGCGAGAGCAACAGAATTTATTAACAGCTTTTATAGATGGCTCGAATGTTTACGGTAGTGATGATACCACAGCAAGTCATCTTAGAGGACAAAACGGTAAAATATTTGCCTTGTTATAAATATTTCATTAGAGTATATTTCCAATTACACCACGATACCATGAAGCTCTAAGCCTTAACCCCGGTCTGTGATCCTTGGGAGCCGCGGTGGCTTAGTGAGTAAGAAGTTGTCTCGCTAACCTGGAGGTCCCGTGCTCCATCCCTATGTTGGTTGTGTAAGTTCATCGTGATTTTTAGGCTTGCTTCTCCCTTGTCAGTGATGCAGGGCTTGGCAAGGGAGAACGTATAGCCGTTCTTATGGGACGAAGGAAACGTGGCCCCGTGTATACATTAGCGAGCACGTAAAATGGTACGGAACACCAAATTGACGTGTACTATTTGGCGTGCACGTAAAAGAACTCTTGAGCGTAGACCGTAATGTCGCTGTACGACCATCTATTTTAGCGCAGTCGGTTTAGAACTGTAGGACGATAAACCCCATTTTATTTTCATTTTATTTTTGTGAACCTTGACCCCACCGTGTATGAGTAAAGCATGTGTCTTATATTGCATGTAAGCCGGTCTGTACAGTCGAATCATGGCAGCGAATGCCTAGTTCAAAAATAAATACATATATCGGTTCGAGAATTTCATATCTTCCTCCTACTTGAGCTCAATGAGGAGCCATCTACACCGTTCCATGTTTTTAACTTTTCTGAGGGAGGGCACTCAGACCCTTACAACACTTCACTATAGAGATCTGATATTTCTGGACATCACCCTGTTGGGAATCCTGGATCCGCCCCTGGGTAGAGCAGATTGCGAACACTGAGAGCCAAGATATGATCAGTCCATCTGTGATATTATATTAGCTATGTTATCTTGTAGGACGGATGAAGACATCAGGCAATAATTTATTACCACGTGGTAATGATGCTGACTGTATAAGAGACAACGCCCCTTACTGTTTTGCTGCTGGTAAGCTAGTTTAAAGTCTCCTTGCGTTTTGTTACAGCCATAGGAATCACTTACAAACTACAATATTGTGAAAGACGAATCTGTAAAAGGAATTCCAGTCCACATTTGGTTCCGGGAGGGGGGGGGTTGATGGCCGAATGGTTGACACGTGCGCGCTATATCATAAGGTCTGTCATTAAGTCAACTGGCGTGGTTTCGATTCCCCGGTTGTACGTGACAAGGAGTGGTCTCGCCTGTCCAACATCGTGGGTTTTCTCCGGGTTCTCCGGTTGCCTCCCACTGCTAAAGACCCCTACGCGCAAGCGAATTATTGAAATAAAATTGAACCATGTGTTAGTCCCGAAATAACCTAGTTGTGTCGAGTGGAGGTTAAATCTCTCTCTCGATGTTGACAGAGAAAGTTCATCGGGATTTTACGGCGTGGTTTTCCCTTGTCAGTGATGCAGGACGGAGGGCATGGCGAGGGACAACGTATAGTCGTTCGGATGGGACGTAAAACCGATGTCCCGTGTATAGACTGGTGCTCACGTTAACGATCCATTGGCAGTTGAAATTCGATATAAGAGTAGGCCGTAGTGTCGCTGTCCGTCTTCATTACCCCGAGTCGGAGCAGACCAGTAGGACGTTAATCCCCATTTTATTTTAGTTCGGTTTCAGGCTGGTAATTCGATGAGCCAATTTTAGAGTAAGTCGGAGGAACACCTTGGCGTGCTCGTAAAGGAACCTTTCATAGTTGGGATTCAATTTCTCTTTGCACCCCCCGTCTTCATTAGCCTAGTTCGGAGCAGAGCAGTAGGGCGTTAACCCCCATTTCTCTGTGGACAAATTTTCCTGTATGGCGTATACAGTCTTCATTAGTCCAGTTGGGACTGAACAGTAGGACGTTAAACACCATTCTATTTAATTCCACTCTCGTGGGTATGACACGGATACTGTTGACTGGACGTCTAAAGACAAAAGGTTATATCGGTAATTAGTCCCGAAATAACCCACTGGAGAGTCGACGTTACATATTGTTATTTTCAGGTGACGAACGTGTTCATGTTTTCCCTGGGTTAACGGCCATGCACACAGCCTTCGTGAGATTACATAATTATATTGTTGAGAAATTAGACACTCATACCAACTGGGACGGAGAGAAACTATATCAGGAGACGAGGAAGATTATTGGAGGGCTTTTACAGGTATGGTGACCCTTTTATAGGTACGGTAACCCTTTTACAGGCATGATGAGCGTTTTGCAGGCATGGTGACCCTTTCACTGGTATGGTGACTCTTTGAAAAGGAGATCACTTTTTTTGACAAGTATGACACCATTACAGCTATGGCGCTTCTTTAAGGGTATTAAATCATTTATGGGTATTCTGCCCTTTTGCACATGTGGAGGCCTTCAACGGGTATGATTCACTTGACAGGTGTGATCTGTTGTCAATTTCTCCCTTCTTACAGTCCGTTCTGCCTTGAGTGCCTTCGTACAGTCCATTCTGCTTTGAGTGCCTTCTTACAGTCCGTTCTGCCTTGAGTGCCTAACAGTCCTTTCTGTCTTGAGTGCCTTATTATCCGTCCTGCCTTGAGTGTCTTACAGTCTGTTTTGCCTTGCGTGCCTTATTGTCCGTCTGCCATTCTTCTTACCATCTCGTTCTACTTTGTTGTCTGGCTCCGTTCGTCCCATCATACATTTCTTTCTTCCCTCGTTTCTTATCTGAGTCCTAAAACTTTATTTTATAAAAAAAAATTGAGTTTACCCCATTTCACATTTTTTTTTTGTTACAGAGGATAACTTACACTGAGTTTTTACCTGAAATATTGAACAACTACACAATGCACAAGTATAGGTTGGTAGAGGGCGGTTACCAATACAACCCTAACGTCAATCCATCTATCTCCAATGTTTTCGGCACGGCAGCATTCAGATTCGGACATTCTCTAATTCCCGATTTCCTGGTAATCGATGGTCAAGAAGTACCATCTAGAAAACTGTTTAACAATCCGCAATATGTGTTCACTAGTTTAGATTCTATTGTCGCCAACCTTTTGTCCAGCCCGGCCCAGATGAGAGATCGTTTTGTGACCCGTGAGGTTTTGGATCATCTCTTTGAAAGGAATGGTATCGGATTCGATCTACCGGCCTTTAATATCCAGCGAGGAAGGGATCATGGGTTGCCGTCGTACAACATGTTTAGATATTTCTGTGGTTTGCCGGAAGTTACGGCGTTTAATTCCAGCCATCTTGGTAATGCCGGACCTTCTCTTCAGGAGGTCTATGCGTGAGTATGTTTACATTATGTAGTGTTATAGTCACTGGTACTGTGACCGAATACCGAATTCCAGCTCTCGGGGGTTATCAGTGTGTACACGAGACCTCGGTTTTTCGTCCAATCCGAACGACTTATCGTTATCGCTTGTCACACCCTCCGTACTGTACAACTGACAAGGGAGAACAGCTCCGGAAAACCCGGATGAACTTTCTCTGGTATTATCGGGGTCAAACATGAAAAATTGGCATGTGTCGGACCGAAACTTCCTGGATTATGGCCCCTGATTGTACTAAAAATCACGTTTTTAGCTTGTGGACACTCTAGAGGTGACAAGTTGATGTATGTTTATAACCCAAAGATCTCGGTTCCCTTTGATACTCGCACATATCGGGCTGAAACGTCCTTGATTTATTGCCCCTGATTGTACGACAAATCCCTCTGGAGGTCACAATTTTTATCCGATTTAATAAACCATTACGCCATAATGACGGTTGAGTTCGAATTCCACTTCATATATACTGAAGGTCGCATCATATATAAAGATATCTGGCATTATCTGTTGTAGGCATGTTAATGATATTGATGTATTCGCTGGTGGTCTATCAGAACCAAATTTACCCGGTTCAAACCTTGGTCCTCTATTTTCCTGTATAGTTGCCCAGCAATTCGAAGATTTGAAATATGGAGACAGCTTCTGGTATGAGAGACTAGGTCAACAGAGAGGATTTAGCGCCTGTAAGATCGCTTCTCAATCAATATATTTTTTTATTCTTTCGTAAATTATGCATTCACATACTCTGACATAACCTAATCGCCAACCTTATGTTTGCATTTGCCTGATATGCTAGCACTTGATCATTTTCAGCAGAAATTTTTAGCAAACTTTCGCCTATGACTGCCACCTTTGTCTGATTTTTAACGTTGTGCTAGAGCTTGATCATTCTATGCTGACATTCCAAGCATAAGATAGCCTTATCAGCAAGTCAATAAAACTGATGCTTTATGGCACAGGGTCCTGGTTTCGACCGTCAAGCCTTTTAAATACAAAACGTTTTGGTAAACGGCAATGGTGAATCCAGAACACCTTGGTAAACGGCCCGGTCGTCTTTGCTCCGCGCATCATATGGTAACATAATCATGGCGTGGGGACAATGATTGTTTTTCTTTCATTGATATGTTTTATTGTTTTATAGCTGAACTGGCATCTATCAAACAAATCAGTTTATCCAAGATTCTCTGTCAAGTTTTTAATTTGGTTAAAGTCCAGAGAAATCCATTCAAGTTTGTAACAACTACGTAAGTCATGAGTAAAATTACTAATATTATGTTCACTTTATTTTAAAATCAGGGGTTTCTTACAATCTCCGTGTGTCATGTGTTTCTTGTACGTGGGTTTGACTTCAAAGGACAAAACATTGCAGACCTTTGGTGTTCCCTTGTCAGTGGTATAGGCTCCTTGTCAGTGGTATAGGATGGTTGATCTACACGACGCCAGTGTCCAAAGGGCATGTCGTTTTCAGTGACACCCTGTTGTTTCTCCCTGTCAGTGGTATAGGAAGGCGGACTTGTCAGACCCAAGCATCTAGTAGTTCGGGTGGTACGATAAACCAAGGCCCCGTCTACGTGAGTAACACGCCGGCTCGCTAGCCAGATGGTCGTGGGTTCGATCCCGCTGTTGCCAATGGTGCAGGACGGAGAGAGAGAGAAATGGGGTTTAACGTCCACTCGACACAAACTAGGTCATTTCGGGACTAACACATGGTTCAATTTTATTTCAATAATTCACTTGGGCGTAGTTGTCTTTAGCAGTGGGAGGAAACCGGAGAACCCGGAGAAAACCCACGAGGTTGGACAGGCGACCCTACTCCTTGTCACGTACAACCGGGGATTCGAAACCACGCCAGTTGACTCAATGACAGGCTTTATGACACGGCACGCACGGCTAACCATTCGGCCGTCCAACCCCCCGGTGCAGGACGGAGAGCCGGACCAGGACAGTTCACTAGTTGTTTGGATGACAAACCGAGGTCCCGTGTACACATTGGCGTGCACGTAAAAGACCCCTTGACAGTTGGAATTCGATATAAGAGTAGGCCGTAGTGCCGTTGTCCGGGCAAACTTTCCCTCATAGCACACTGTATGGCGTATGCCCGTCTTCATTAGCCCAGTTCGGAGCAAAACAGTAGGACGTTAAACTCCATTTCATTTAATTTTATTTGTCTTATTGTTTTCAGTTCGATCGTTTTGAGACTACTACTGTCTGTGCTGCATGGAATTGCAACTGCCAAGTGATCGTTTGCACTGACTCCAATGTGTGCGTGGTTGAACAAAACGTTTTTCCTCACAGTCTTTGTCAAGTCTTTGGGATGGGACAAAACACCAAGACCCCATGTACACATTAGCATGCACGTGACAAAACATGCGGAAACGCCGCAGTCCTGTCCAAATTTACCTTATAGCTTGCGTTCAATATCCCGGTCGGTGCATATACGTAGAACCATAAACCCCATTTTATTTCATTTCGTTGTATTTATCACTTTTTAATACATTTTTTGTTGCTATTTTCAGAAACCCTGAAGTCCTTTGTGACAGTTTAGATGAGATTGACCTGACGCCTTGGTATTTAAACTGAAAACGGACATCAAATATACATTATGCAAGAGCTAAATCTGCCTATTGCAGTCTATCTTTAGGCCTGAAATGTTATCTAAATTATTAATTAGGCATTAATTAAGTTATCCAGACCATAATCAACTCTTGGTGTCATCGCTAGCCTTCGATTTTACTGGATTGGAATCCGATCTGCTACTAAACCCTCATTGATGATTAAATCAAAAATGGATAATCGAGACTATGTTGCTTTATCGTACCGACTTTAGTAATGATAATCGAGGCTAGGCCTAAAATTCAATCGCTAAAATCTGGGTTCAGAGTGGAGGAATTTGACTGAAAATTTTAGCAAATACCCTTTACATTATCTATTTTTTAACTATTACAGTGAGAACTGCCAGCTCTTTTTCTAATCTCACATAATGTATTTTTAAATATAGTAAAATCAGTTATAATACCAAACCTATGATTGACTTGTTTATCAAATCGTCTGAGAAATGTTGGAACCTGTGTAACAGTTATCTCCTTGGAATGGTTCAATTCGTCATTTGGAGTTTGACGTCCTACTGTTCTGTACCGACTGGACTAATAAAGACGGGCATACGTCATACAGAGAGAGAGAGAGAAATGGGGTTTAACGTCCACTCGACACAACTAGGTCATTGCGGGACTAACATATGGTTTAATTTTATTGCGCATAGGGGTCTTTAACAGTGGGAGGAAACCGGAGGACCCGCAGAAAACCCACGAGGTTGGACAGGCGACCCTACTCCTAGTCACGTACAACCGGGGATTCGAAACCACGCCAGTCGACTCAATAACAGACTTTATGATACAGCGCGCGCACGCTAAACATTCAGCCATCCAACCCCCTACGTCATACAATATACTGAGGAAAATTGTGCCTGAACAGCGCTCTACGGTATAAACTTATACCGATTCCAACTTCTATAGACCTAAGGGGCTATGTGGGAGAGAGAGAAAAATGGGGTTTAACGTCCACCCGACACAAACTAGGTAATTTCGGGACTAACATATGGGTTCTTTAGGCAGTGTGGGGGGGGGGCGGGGGAGCCGGAGAAAACCTATGAGGTTGGACGGGCGACCGGGAAACCAATGAGGTTCGACGGACAACCGGGAAATCTAAACCACGCCATTAACAGACCTTATAATAAAATGCGCACGTGCTAACCGTTTGGCCATCCAACACACAAGTGGATAAATGGGTAAAACGCTGGGTCGCTAGTCTTGAGGTCGTGGGTTCGCCCCCGGTGTTGGCCGAGAAGGTTCATCGGGATTTCCCGACGTGGTTTTCCCTTGTCAGTGATGCAAGACGGAGGGCCTGACAAGGACAGCTGTCTAGTCGTTCGAATAGGACGAAAACCGAGGTCTCGCGTACACGTTGACTTGCACATAAAAGATCCTCTAGCGCCGCTGTTCGGGCAAACTTTCCCTCATAGCACATTACATGGCGTATGTCCGTCTCCATTAGCCCAATCGGAGCAGAAGAGTAGGACGTTAAACCCCATTTCTATCGCTTTGCCTCCTGCATCAATGACTAGAATAAAATCTGGGAATGCCTGGTGATTTATGCCTAGGTCCCACTGGACATTATTTTTATCGGGTAGGCTTCTCGAGGCGTCGGGAACATGTTCTCTAATGAAAGTTTCGGATGATTTTTACCATTTAGGACAAATGAAATTACATCAATTGCTGAGTTGTGATGATACAATTATTTCTCCTCTTTTCTTTATGCTAAGTTCCAACTATCACGATTCGTGCTGCGATTGAAATCGTGGTTTTAATCGTGGAGTAATTGTAGTCATCCTATCATCCTATCCTATCGCTAGACTGCGAAATTTATTGGATTACCCATTCATAATTTAATCATGTATTGGATAATCGAGACTATGTTTTTATCCTACCGACTTTAGTAATGATGATAGAGGCTAGGCCGTAAATTCAATCGCTTTGTTCTCGGTTCAGAGTGGATCAATTTGACTGAAAATCTTTAAATTATCTAGTTTATAACTATTATAGTGATAACTGCCAGCTCTTTATCTAATCTGCCATAATGTATCTTTAAGAATTTGTCTCCCCACAGCAATAAATAGAAAATGAAATGACGCACGCGCAATCATTTCCATATGATGAATAATAAAAAATGAAATGACGCACGCGCAATCATTTCCATATGATGAATAATGAAAAATGAAATGACGCACGCGCAATCATTTCCATATGATGAATAATGATCTTTATCCTGTGTATTAATGTTTTGTGGGGTTGAATTGAATTGAGTTAGGGCTGAATCTATATTAGGGATTATGTCACGATCGTAAACCTGATTCATGACGTGTTAATCTGTTTATATCGACGATAAACATAGCATAAATGTACTTTTCTATATCATGGGAAAGGCCTAGTTTTTGTTGAATGTGTGTTTGAGATAATAAAATAAAACCAAGTACGAACAATCCAAACCATTAGACAAAATTCTAAGTCCTAAAAAAAACCCCAAAAAACGGTATAGGCAAAATAGTGTAATAAGGCAAAACAGTGTAATCAGCACATAGACTGTTAACCGTGTACAAAACACACACGACAAACAGTGGCAACAGGTGTCCGGAAGAGTAAGCTTACACTGCCTGGCACCACACCCGCCATAGCTGCATCCAAACCACTAGGCGAAATACGTCGTGCAGTGTGCAGTGGCCAAGAAAACATGGATGGCAGACATCGGTGTTCATAGTATCAATAGTCTGGATAACAGGGAATCTGATCAGCGGGATGATCATAAAATCCATCTGAAATAAAATGGTGTTCAATGCCCCTTCCCCTCCCCCTTTTCTGCAGCGACTGGGATGTTGAAGACAAGCAGTGTGGTAAAAAGAGAAATTTTGCCAGAACAGTGCCGCTACGACCAACTCGTATTTTGAGTGCCAATTGTCAAGGGATCTTTTACGTGCACGCCACTGTGTACCGGGATCAAACCTGTTTGTTGTTGTCATGCATGGGAAGGGCGACTTGTGTTTAATATCTTTCATACTTGTCAAACTTACATTATGGTAAAAAGAGAAATTTTGCCAAAACAGCGGCGCTACTTCCAACTCCTATTTCGAGTGCCCATTTTCAAGGGATCTTTTACGTGCACGCCAATGTGTACCAGGATCGAACTAGAGACCTGTTTGTTGTAGTCCTGCATGTGTTTAATATTTTTCATACTTGTCAATAGAATATTTTAAACTTAATTCGGTGAACTGGATAATAACTAGAATATATTTAAACTTTAAATTCAATGATACTGAATAGAGCCCGGATCTTCATCGTATGTTATTTATGTGTATGGAAGACCAAACAGCTCTTTCAGCTTATTTGAAATGAAATGAAATGAAATGGGGTTTAACGTCCTACTGTTTTGCTCCGAACTGGGATAATGAAGACGCCATACAGTGTGCTATGGGGGGAATTTTGCCCTTCGTCCTGCATCACTGACAAGGGGAACCACGCCGGAAAATCGGGATGAACCTTCTCGGCCAATGGAGGGATCGAATACCCGACCTCCAGGCTAGGGAGCCAGCGTCTTACCCACCTAGCCATCGCGACTCTTTCAGCTTATTTGAAAATAACCTACTCAAAACGCAAAATAAAATATTTAACCACTGGAAGGTTTATCAAAACAATGTCGATATACGTCTTTGTATGAATCTGAAATGATTTTATATAATTATTTACAAAATTATAAGTACAGTGTTTAAAAATTATTATTACATAAAGAGTTTGATAATTATTCAATCAGATTAAAATAAAGATCTATATTTCGTTTCGTTTTTTTTTTCGATGGCCTACACCACATAAAGATCTGACAGGCTGTAGTAAAAGGTCGTGTCAGAGGTCATAGGAGAGGCTTTTGACCCTATGGCGTCAGACATTGATTAATCAATCAGCGTTGACGTTTCTAGTGGTTTACCCACAGTTCCGTGCATCGCATCGCACGCCAAAAAGTCGCCGTAACAGATATTTTCATTGGCTAATCCCTCACGCCATCCAGAACGCCGGTTATATAACAACTCTTCCAGATCCTCGAGTAGTAAAGACAAGTAAAACGAAATTTTGAACTATAATCAGATTAGTAATTACCGGGAAGAATGTATATTTCTGATGAAATGTAAATGTTATTATTTTTATTTTCGAAAAGATATTATATTAAAATACAGTTAAAAAAAACAAAGATACAATTTAGAAATATGATATGACAAATTTCTGATTTGTAAAACAAATATTGATTTTAAGATACAAAGGTTAATTTAAGTGTACAAATGTTGAAATACAACGCATAAAGAAATAAGAATTAAGATCACTGAATAATGAGTTGTTTGGTCTTCCATATTACGTGTGTTGCGGTCCTCCCAACCCAAATACTCATTGTATAAATGTCATAAAGCACAATGGTTTAAAATGTGTTATACGTTTGAATAAATAAAAACGGTGATGAACGACTCTTGCAAACCGATATCAGGTCTAAATATTAAGGATACATGCAGATTTGGCCAAGTTCATGCGATGTAAACAGGGTTAGGACGACTGATTCTTGCAGAGAATTGTGGATTAGGATTAGGGTGACAGTAAGCGTTAAGGCTAGGTCCAGGGTTAGGGTTAGAGTTGGGATTAGCGCTAGCCCAGTTTACATCTCGTGACCCTTGACCAAACTTGAATTTGGCCTCATCAAATAGATGTCACCCAATGTACTGCCTTCAAGTTATCTCCCTTGATCACCCGATATAGTTATTGCCCTTTGTGCTTTCATCATCCGTGTCATTAGAAACTTTTAATTACCAACATATTGCGAATAGATATTATCTATATAGGATTCATCTAGCTTTAGGTTTCAAAGCATTTTTAAAAACTGCATAACCATATCATGATCCGAAATGGCAATCCGGATGGTTCCTTGTTTTGTATAGGGGTAGACCCAGATAAGCATATAGTATTTGGTGTAGGGGGTCGACCAGTGATCTCCATAGTATATGGTATACGGATGAATCAGCGGACTATTTGCTTTATGATATTGGGTGGTCGGATGGTGGTTTCAAGTGACGTGATTTCTATACTAAGCTTGTTCGTGACAAATAGTAAGGTCGCCTGGATAATTTCGTGGGTCTTTTCCGAGTCCCCCGATTTCTCCCTACAGCTAAAGCACTCAACGCGCAAGCAAATTAATGAAAACAGAACCATATGTTAGTCCTGAAATGGCCTAATCTGTGTCGAGTGGATGTTAAACCCCTGTGCATTCGTTTTTTCATAAGTAAAATCAAACCTTGAGTTTAAAAATAGGTAGTAGAGAGTAACATAACGGGAAAATGTCAATGGTATTTATTTGTGCTGGGTCAACCTTTCTTGTATCTCACAATACCTCAATGAATAAAATCAGTCAACCATGACGATCACAATTAGCAAGCGTGTTCTTGGTATAGGCTTACAATGGGATCGGTTTGATTTCAACGAACCCCATCTAGACTTTGCGTGGGCGCAAACAATAAGGACGGCAGAAATAAAACAATGAATTATCCAAGAGATATAGGCTGTAGTATAGCAGATAACTGCAAAATATCGGAGAGAGAGAGAGGGAGAGAGAGAGAGAAAGAGAGAGAGAGAGGGGGTTTAACGTCCACTCGACACAAACTAGGTCATTTCGGGACCAACACATTTTATTGCAATAATTCGCTTGCGCGTAGGGGTCTTTAGCAGTGGGAGGAGTCCGAGGGACCCGGAGAAAACCCACGAGGTTGGACAGGCGACCCTACTCCTTGTCACGTACAACCGGGGAATCGAAACCACGTCAGTTGACTTAATGGCAGCAAAATATCGGGGAAACCCGTCATGTTGTAATTGCAAAATGAAATGAAATGAAATGAAATGGGATTTCACGTCCTACTGTTCTGCTCCGAACTAGGCTAATGAAGACGGGCATACGCCATACAGTGTGCTATGAGGGAACCTTGCCCGGACAGCGGCACTATGGCCTACTGTTCTATCGAATTCCAACTGCCAAGGGATCTTTTACGTCAAAGTATACACGGTCCTCAGTTTTTCGTCCCATCCAAACGACTAGACAGCTAGGATGGGACGCCGCCCAGATCGGTCGGTGAGAATGGTTTATAATTACCTAACAAAGCCCGTGAATGAATTCTTGAGACAATAGTATTAAATTTTCTGATGCTATTAGAGAGTCTGACATTATTATCATTCTCTGATGTTCGGGGTGTTCCATGTCCGCTTCCACTGGGGGTGATATCGCAGTCAAACCTTGTTTTTTATTATCGGGGGGTTGGATAGCTGAATGGTTAGCGTGCGCCCGCTGTATCATAAAATCTGTCATTGATTCGACTGGCGTGGTTTCGAATCCCCGGTTGTACGTGACAAGGAGTAGGGTCGCCTGTCCAACCTCGTGGGTTTTCTCCGGGTCCGCAAGCGAATTAATGAAATAAAATTAAACCATATGTTAGTCCCGAAATGACCTAGTTTGTGTCGAGTGGACGTTAAACCCAATTTCTCTCTCTCTCTCTCTCTTTATTATCTTAGTGCATCGGTAGGGGTACTTCCGGTGGGGAGAAAACCTGAATATCCGGAGTAAACCCATGAGGCTTGAGAATGCGTCCCTATCTCCAAGTCACATACGCTCACACCATTGATTGAAAGCACGACCGCAAGTCAGAGGTGTCCGGCTAGCTAGAGGTTTAATCCGTAACAAACCCCTCCATTTAATATATGACAGAATATCAACACCGTATCCAACCTGGATCTCAATGAGTTCTGGATCGGCATGGAATGAAATAAAGTGTGAGTTTCACGTCCTACTGTTCTGCTCCGACGGGGGTTGGGGGTGGAAGTCCGATTTCTGATTTCTTGACAGACAAAGCTCCTCGAGATTTTGCGTTGTGAACTGCTAAGGAACATCGTCTAGTGGATCGAATGGGACGAAAAACAGATGGAATTCGAAATAAGAATTGTCCGGACAAACTTCCCCGTTTCGTTAGACGAGTTAGTGCACAAAGGTAGAACGTGAAACCAATTTCATTTGATTTCATTTAGTTTTGTTTCCAATATCCGACCACACGTCAAAACGAAACTCGTCATTCTGAAGACTAGCTGGTGACTTCAGAAACTATGAATAATCCTTTCCGATATGATTCCGGTCTTTTTGTACCGTTTGCACCTTTATTCCAAAAATAACTATTACAATACCTGTACACCTCTAGTTATGACTGACTCTATACGAAAATAAAAGTGGCGCACTTATAAGTAAAAATATCTTCTCCAATTCCGTGAAATTTGGGTAATAATATTTGCACGTGACAATGGAGTCAATGGGAATCTCTAATGGCGCGGAAACAGATCAGCTTGTATCTTTAGTTGATTGATTTTATGATCGACTCGTCACAATAGATTTTATGTCTTGTAGACAACAATGAACCAATAACTGTTTCTCAAGTGGCTGTGTTTGGGCGAGTGTTTGATCTATAGAAAAGTTACAATGAATAGCTGTTTTTACACAGCCAAATTATATGGCAGCTTGCCCAAACGCAATCACAAAATTTAGACCATACCTATACGAAATGAAATCTACCAGTATTTTAAAAATAAATCCGAACCTTTTCCTTCCGGAAATCGTCATGAGTGAAAGCTCTGGGTTTAGGTGAAACTTATTTTAAGAAGTAAAGCTGGTATATATAAAGATGTTCCAACTGAACGTCCACAACACAGAACAACCATCAAACAACCGGAGCAACTTTATTTGTATTCGAACAGCCAAACTGACACAATTGTATCTATATAAAGTGGAACATCGCTGATATTAATAGGAAATAACTTTAACATGGGTAAGCTGATTTTGAATATAAATTTAAATATCTGGTTGGTCAATTTATTGGATGAATTTATCCACGGGGATGTTATTGTTGTTTTATTTGTGTTTTTACTGTAAATTTATATCTTTCATGGAAGCCGCGGTGACTCAATTAGTAGGACTCTAGCTTGATAGAGAGAGGGAGAGAAATGGGGTTTAACGTCCACTCGACACAAACTAGGTCATTTCGGGACTAACATATGGTTTAATTTTATTTACATAATTCGCTTGCGCATAGGGGTCTTTAGCAGTGGGAGGAAACCAGAGGACCCGGAGAACACCCACGAGGTTGGACAGGCGACTCTACTCCTTGCCACGTACAACCGGGGAATCGAAACCACGGCAGTTGACTCAATGACAGACTTTATGATACAGCGCGCGCACGCTAACCATTCAGTCATCCAACCCCCTTCAATTAGTAGGACTCTAGCTTGATAGACCTGGAGGCCTCGGGTTCGCTCCCGGTGTTGGTCGGGAATCATCCAAGGGATTTTAAGGTGCAGTTTCCCTTTGTCAGGGTGCAGAGGGCCTAGTCGTTTTGGTGGTACGACAAGCGAGAACCCGTATACACATTAGCGTACTCGTAAAAGAACGATTGACAGTTGGAATTTTAAATCTAAATTAAGATATCTTATTTATGAAAACATTGGATGAATTGTTCATAAAGGCATTATGGTTAATTTTTGTTTTTGAAGCCATAGCGCTGCTGTCCGGACAAAATTTCCCTCCTTTCACGTACTGTCTTGATTAGCCCAATCGGATCAGAAAAGGAAGTCGTTAAACCCCATTTTATTTCATTTCATTTCATGTATGTTTCAGCTTTACAGATGGACTTCGTGATCTTTCTACTGATTGGTTTCCCGGTTATCCAGGCTGGTAATACTATACACACTGATGTCTGTCATCCATGTTTTCCTGGTTATGCCGGAAGTAGAGAATGGGATTTTGATGGTCCTGTTGGAGACACGAGTGTGACGACACTGATGCGCCATTTTGTAGACCGAGTGAATGACGTCAATGAAACGGTTACAACAGCAATAGAACAAGTAGTAAGTTAAATTATATACCATTGGTTAGAGTGGATGGATAACATGAACCGTTATTTTTAATGATGAACAATGCAAAAGTATATTGATTTGGGAAGCGAATACAGAAAGAGAGAGAGAAATGGGGTTTAACGTCCACTCGACACAAACTAGGTCATTTCGGGACTAACATATGGTTTAATTTTATTTACATAATTTCCATAACGGGGTCTTTGGCTGTGAGAGGAAACCGGAGGACCCGGAGAAAACCCACGAGGTTGGACAGGCGACCCTACTCCTTGTCACGTACAACCGGGGAATCGAAACCCCGCCAGTTGACTCAATGACAGACCGTATGATACAGCGCAGCGCACACGTGCTAACCATTCGACCCCCCCCCCCCCCCGAAGCGAATACACTGTACGACGAACTAGCTGGGCCACTCTTCCATATTTTGACACATTCTTCAACTTTGTCTAGCATGTCTATAGGATTTCTGAAGTAGCAACGATTTTACTGATATTGATATAATATTCTCAGATCTAGTAAAATATAAACACATAATATTTACATTCTTTATATTAGTTATATATTAACGGATATTTTTATTCTAAGATCTAGTTATATATTAAGTGATATTTATATTTTCAGGTTGATAATAATTATGCCGGTGATGTCGGATATTTATGTCAACTAAGAATGGCGGGAGAATCTGATATACCATCTACTCGTATCTCATCTTTATCTCAGGTAAATAAAATATTCAATATTAAATATCAATTTTTTATTATAAAATATTGAATTGTTGATATTTTTTTATGAATAATAATAAATATTTTTATTTAAAATAAATCTCGTCATATAAAATATTAATAAATATTCAATACGAATATTAATATTATAAATATTAATCAATGTTGATTATTTAATATAAATCTCTTATTAAAAATGTTATTAATTATTCCATATTGAATATAATTCTCGTATTATTCAATATTAAAATGCAGATCTCATTTTGATAAATATTAATAATTTTTCAATATTCAAATCACTTATTATAAAATTACATTAAATATTCAATATTCGATATAAATCACTTATTATGAAATTGCATTAAATATTTAAAAGTCAATATAAATCACCTTTTCTCCGGGTCCTCCAGTTTCCTCTCATAGCTAAAGACCCCTACGCGCAAGCGAATTATTGAAATAAAATTGAACTCTTTGTTAGTCCCGAAATGACCTAGTTATTGCCAAACCCCATTTCTCTCTCCCTATTTATTTTTATTTGAAATCTTTATTTATTTGTACAGGTCAATCCACTGACGAAAATTTACAACAAGGTGGCGACCTTATCTCTTTATTTCCAAATACTAAACTGGGACTTCATCAAGAACTGTGGTCTAGATTTCACTCATCTGATCGGAACACCTCCGGTATGCTACTGGAAACAGGTCTTACGTCACTTCCGTCATCGTGTTCCTGGTCAGTTTTGTCGTAAATCATTTCCTATCGATGGCGTCACTTCTTGTACTACTGCTGTAGATCTGGTCTATGTTATTCTCGAGAGTTCACGTGGTATCTTAGCATCGTTAGACAGTCAGGTCAACATATATAAAAGCATTCTAGAAAACTCAAACAGTGAAAACGAGGCTATGCAAATAATTCTTGATTCGCGCATCATGTAAAATGGTCCGTAAGCAGAACGATGGCTTGTAATCTACATCGAAACCTCTCGTGTATGCTTTCGACTTTCTTATAATTCCATTTTTATTTATTACTTTCGTTTTATTATGTTAATTTTTGAGTGATCTCTTTAAAAATTATTATATACTGATAAAAGGAAACAATGATTATTCACGGTACATTTCCTTACACATTCTTGACGAAAGAGTTTTATATTTTTATCGTTTTTATTATTTTTAAGTGTTGTTCATGTTTTGAGTTAAACACCATAGACAGACAATAATATCATTATAAAGTTGATTCGCTTTTTACGCCATTTTGTCCATTTTGCTTTTTTTGTATTATTAAATTATCATTGGTGTCTTTCTCCTTCTTTACGTTGACGTTTGCTTTTGTTACACTTTTCATCAAATAATTTTAATGCTTTAATAATATGAATAGTAATGTATGACTATTTTATTTTAGTGTAAATATGTTTTAATGTTTTTATGCGAAATCGCTCATGATGAGTCGGTTTCTGATATTGTAAACTCTAAGAGTTGTTGTTGACCCAATGGGCCATATTGATAAAAACGTAAAGTAATACAGAATTTGATTGTTCATTGGTGGATAATCATAAACAAGCTAACTGTCCTTGATTACTTTATTGTGGCTCTTTTCACTGATAGGCCTTATGGCTGTGTTTCTTGATAGACCCTGTGGCTTTTTGAGCTTTGAATACTTTAAAGCACTTTAATGTTATACCAGAGAATGTCTCTCTAAACTTGTAAACTCTATGAGTTTTATTATAATTATATGTTAATTAATACATTATTTATTAATTAATCTCAGTGAATATTTTATCCAAGAATTGAATAACTCTGCTTATGTTTAATTGTTAATCTTAATCAATATTTTATAACTCCAAACATTGAATGACTCTGCTTATTTATGATGTTTAATTATTAATCTTTAAATTCTTTTATCAATCCAAATAAATATTTATGACTCTGCTTTATGCCATAAGGATGTTTTATTTTATGAATTCTAAATGTTAATCTTTAACACCATGTTTTTAGTCCAGATATTGTTGCCGTCATGCTGATTTCATTTCAAATTAAAGAAATATTTTAAAAGTATAAAATGTTATAAAGTATTCTATATAATATTGTATTGCTCTACCAGAAACTATCAAATTGGAGAACAGGCACGACTTGTTTAACCCTTCACCTAAGATGCTGTTTGTCTATGAATTGTATTTTTTGTCAAATATTTTAAACTTAAATTATTATAAACTAGTCCAGTTATAATTTGTATGTCTTTGCTAGATGCTATCGTACTGTATTTTGTTTTTAGTAATACATTTTATTATAAATTTCAATTATTGAATTGTATTGTTCGTATTTAAACCTTGAACCAAAACTTTGCATCAAAAAATGAGACTTAGGTCGGCTTGTCTGATAAAGAACTAGTAAAAATTGAACAATCGGTGACGAATCAGAAGTCTATGAAGCATCCGGCCGAGCTGTATGATATTTTGACACCGTCAAAGGGCTTTCTTACACACCCGCTTTAGTCTCAATAACTAGGGGTCATCCGGCTAAAAATGTATAAAATAGGGATCACCCGGCGAAAGGTGTATAGGGGTCAACCAGCTAAAGTTGTTTAATATTTGTGACACTGTTATAAGCCTTTCTTATAGGCACTGTAGTTTTAAACATCCGCCATCATCCTCGGCTTTACTTAATCGTGTTTAATCAAAACGCACTTTCACTTTCCTCTAATAGTGAGGGTAGGGGATTAGTTGGGGGAGGGAGGGGGCTCATAAGGGGAGTAACCCTGAACATATCTTCATCTGTCTCTAATAGTGAGGGTAGGGGATTAGTAGGGGTGGGGGTGGGGGCTTATAAGGGGAATAACCCTGGGAATATCTTCATCTTTCTCTAACAGTGAGGGTAGGGGATTAATTGTGGGGGGGAGGGGAGGCTCATAAGGGGAATAACCCTGAGCATATCTTCATCTTCCTCTGATAGTGAGAGTAGGGGATTAGTTGCACTGGGGCCTCATAAGGGGAATAACCCTGGGCATATCTTCATCTAAATCCCTGATAGTCATTCGAGGGAATGTCATATTTCCTTTAAATGTCTAAAGTCTGTTGTATTTAGGTTTTACAGAGATATGGAGAATCGACAATTTGGGATTGAATTTCTGTGTGAAATAGTTGGATGGGTGACCTGAAGGGTTTAATAGGGGGAAGGGTGACCCAAATGGTTTAATAGGGGGAATGATTTAATAGGGGGAAGGGTGATCCGAGTGGTTTAATCGGATTGAATGCACGCCTACAGATTATCTGTCATTGATTTATTTTAGATTTTGTTTTTCTTAATCAAATGTTAAGTAGACGTTCTAGCGTGAATTAAGACGAGAAAACTACAGGGGGCCATTAAAGGAACGGTTCACTCAAGCTGGTTATTTAAGGCGATACTTCCATCAATGTAAATATCTTCTGTGTGGGTTTAAAGGCTCAATACCACTCTTGTTGTAACTGAATAATATGTCCCAATCTTTATTCTGGTCAACAAATTGTACTATTTTACAGTATTCCAATTAATTGATGATACAAATTTCATTTTAACACACCTAATTTAAAAAATTGGAAAAATTCAACTAAATGATTTGAAAAGCCTGACGTAATGCATTTCAAATGTTACATGGATTTAAAAAATATTTTTGAACCCTCTGGACAAGTAAAATATGATGTAATGGATAATTTACACAACAGGCAAGACACTAACATATCTAGTACTTAGAATAAGGCTATTTTTATCTTCTGGAGCTGTCAAGCCAGCAAGAGTGTTATTGCCCCTTTAATAAGGCGATACTTCCATCAGTGTAAATATCTTCTGTAAGGTGTCAATTCTATCATGTAACATCTTAAAGTAAGATACCTTTTGTTTGACTCTGGTTATCGATGATGTTAATCATCTTGGGTATTTAACTTATCACACTGTGTGTGTGTGTTCTTTCCGGCGTGGTTTCCCCTTGTCAGTGATGCAGGACGGAGGGCCTGACAAGGACAGCTTTCTAGTCGTTCGGATGGGACGAAAAGCCGAGGTCCCGTGTACATATTGGCGTGCACGTAAAAGATCCCTTCGCAGCTGGAATTCGATATACGAGTAGGCCGTAGCGCCGCTGCCCGGGCAAAATTTCCCTCATAGCACACTGCATGGCGTATGTCCGTCTTCATTAGCCCAGTTTAGGAGCAGAACAGTAGGACGTTAAACCCCATTTCATTTCATTTTGTGTGTGTTCACTTAGCATTCTACTAGAAGCCCGGTTATGGAAGATGTTTAATTTATCATTCTAGATGAAACCAGGTTATCGGTGATGATCTTGGGATTTTACTTCACCATTCACTAGAAACAGTGTTAGCTATGATGTTTTAATCTTCATGGGTTTTAAATATTTTAGTTGAAATTTCGTTTGTGGCGCTGTTAATCAATTTGGGTGTTTAATTCATCATTCTATTTGAAAGCTGGTTTGAGATGATGTTAATCAATTTGGGTGTTTAATTCATCATTCTATTTGAAAGCTGGTTTGCGATGATGTTAATCATCTTGGATATTTAATTTATCAGTAGGTGTTTGAATCCTGGTTAGCGATGATGTTGCGTGTTTAACCTACCTTTAAAGTTGACACGAGGATTAACCACGTGACCTACTAGCTTGATCCCCATGGATTAACACGGCTATATTGTTCAAACAGAGGTGACTTCACGTGATTAAAACACACATCCATTTAAACAAAAACCTGACCTACGCCAAATAATATTAGTTTTACTCACCACCGTAGATTTACATAAAATTTCAAATCAAATATGTATACGTGAACACCATAAATTAACACCGATCCTGTCCTATTACGTCATAATCACGTCATAATTACGTAAGAATATGCCAGCTTACATCCGCCGAATTATACAAGCAAATATGTTTTTATGATATTTCAGCACTAGATTAACTTACGGAAGTGTAAATGGCCACGGACCAGCACGCCCACCTGTTGACACCCATAAAGAGAAATAAAATGGTGTTTAACGTTCTAACGGAGACGGACGCACGCCACATGGTGTGCTCTGACGAAAATTATGCCCATATATCCGAAGGATTAGACACTCTCCTCGCCAGTCGCTTCGTCCTGCACCCTTTGACAAGAGGAACCCCCGCTGGACAATTCCCGAGAACGTTCTTCCGCAGCAATAGGATTGACCCCTCCCCCTCCGTTAATCACTATAGGGGGAAAAGATGTGGAAAACTACCATATCAGTTTGCGAGTATATAAGCTTTTTGCTTGTTGTCATATCCCATGTATCTATTGCAGTGACTATGTGTGTATATCTAAATCTAAACCAAAATTCCGATAATTGCTGCATAAAATATCCTTCCCACCCATATATTATTTTCATCCAAACTATCTGAAACAGTGCCGGATTAAATGGGGGCTGATTGGGCTGCAGCCAGGTGCCCCTAATTATGATGTATATATCTATGCCAAATAAACCTATCTATGTACCATACTGCCCTACAAATTGTAGTTGTGGACAATAACCAGAATATGCCTACTTTTAGCTGCTGATGCAAGGTCCTCATTGATATTTTCAGCCAGACAGGACCGGCGGTACTGTAGAAAATACGGGGCCCAATTTGGGAGGCCTTGAAATTTTTGAAGGTGGTGAGCTACGGGGAAGTTGTGCTAAAAACCGACAAGCTTATTCTGGCCCTGATCTGAAGCACTGCTATCGTTTGTGTTATGTTTGCTTGTTGTATATGTCCTCCGTCCTGCACCCGTGACATCTCGTGTTCTAATGATTCAAGCATGGTTAAATGGACAATAAACCCCCTTTAAATACGAAACAGGAAGTGTTTATCTCCTAATTGGATTGCTAAAACGA